CATTTTTGAAACCCGACAACGAGGGAAATGGCTGCACCAAAACCCACAGCATGGTCCAGCTATTAGGTGCAGACTCGTACCATGGTGGGGGTGTTTGTATATTGCCTCCATGTCCTGTCTCTTCACAGAACTTTCGGCCGTGTTGCTGTCACGACTCCGGGCACATTGAGGTGGTATGCCATTGTAATGGAAAACAACAGAAACCGAGTCAATTCAAGTCAAGTCACGAGGCAGAAGTCTTCTGGTGTTTACTATTTTAGCCTTTATGTATCTTTTGCATAGTTCTTAACAAAGGCTATGAGTAAACGGATGCAACTGTGTCACATCTGGAAAATAATTCTCGCTACACAGAAGTAATCTCTGTTGATTGAAATGATATACTTCTGAAACTGCCTACGCAGCAGTTTGCTTCTCATGTGCCTGATTCTATAAAGAATCTTTAGCATCTTAAATTTCTTCTTTGCAGCATTTTCTTTCTTTTTATCTGATCCTTTTTGCACATGATAATCTTTGTCATTATAATCACAATCCCTGCATTACATGATAATTTTCATCAGACTTTTTCCTTATCTGTCGTTAATTTCTTCTCTTTTAACTGCTTCTGAAGCTTCTCCCAGAGTCCCCTGTTCTGTCTTTGCTTTCTCTCGTCCTGCTCCTTCTCTCACTGCTTCAACCCTGCTTTGTCTGAGCTGTTTATGCTGCCTGGCAGAACAACAAAGTTCTTCACCTGGACAGGGCTCTAGAAAGGGAAGGTGGCTGAGGCTCACACAATGCTACATAAACTAATCTGATTAGCTGCAGAGGAAGACTTAACACAGTCCCGTGGCTTTCTTTTTCATTGTTCAGTGTTTTTAGTCACTTGAAGTTTGACTTACTTGTTAGTCACAACTTGTGTTCGACAAACATAAGACGCATTTTCTAACACAACAAACATGTACATCACAGTCACATGGAAAGTATGTCTGCATACAATATTATATTTAGTATATTTAGTAGTTCAGAGCAAAACGTGTGTAATAAATAGATTTTGACAAGAGAAATATTTTCAACATGAAATGCTATAAAACCCTGTAAGTCAAAGTTTTTGCAAAGAAAGCGCCCCCTCTTGGTGACACTAGGCTATTGCATGAAACGTGTTCATGATGGAAAGTACCTCGACTTAGAAGCAGGAAAGGGAACTGCCAGTAACTAACTGGCACCTGGCTGGGGACAGCAAGTCTAAGCATGTGTTTCAGTAAAAGCAGCTGTTGATCAAAATTACTTTAAAGCTAATTTGCCCATCGAGTGTATAAAATGAGAAAGAGGGGGTTACAGTATAGCTCACCCATTTAAAGAAGCATGTTCAGATTACACACAGAGCAACATTATTTTATTTTATTTACATCATGTTTTCTGTTTGCTGTACTCACAAACAAAACTGTATAACACTGACGGTCTTTAGGACCTTTGGGTTAAAAAAATGGGTTAAACAGTGTTCAGATCATTCTGCTTACAGGGATTACCTACATACACTGAGCCCTTTATTTAAAATGTTGCTCACTTGACCACAATATATCTGACATAATACAAGGAAAATACATTCTCTTTTAAATTTAAAGCAAATGAATCTCATTTTATTTAACAAACTGAAGGTTGAAGTGATATTCAAGGTCACAAAGTAGATTTTGTTTATCTGCCTCTGATATATGAGTTCTCGTGACCGAATCATTGTTCAGCACTTTCCCAGTGAATCGGTTTGTAACATATGAAA